CAGGTTTTAAATAAATAATTCCCAAGATACCTAGTTCCACTTGTGATGAGGTGTATGGGGTTAAGAAAGTTTATAAAAGAGACTTAATCCAGGCACAGGAGGATTAAGCAAATCACGAGGTAGCTTGGGGAAGCATTAACAGTAGAACTGCCACATAAGGTTGTACAGTTTATATGCACAAAGCCTGGCAACATAGCAAGACCCTGTCTCTAAAATTAAAAAAAAAAAAAATGTAGAGTTGAGGTCTCGCTATGTTGCCCAGCCTGATCTCAAACTCCTAGCCTCCAGTGTTTCTCCCACCTTGGCCTCCCAAAGTGTTGGGATTACAGGCGTGAGCCACTGTGCCCAACTCCTTTTTCTAATCTGCACAAAGGCACTGTATAGACTAGCAGAAGCAGCGTTTAATTCACCCCTACCCAAAGCTATTCTAAATAACCTTAGAATCTAAGTAGAAACGGTGACTTCCCCATGTACATGCAGCCCAAAGAGATGTTCCTTGCTTCCCACTTTCTATGCTAACCCTTAGACCTCTGGGATCAGGGAAGGTACCCACAAGGAAGTGACATAGGAGCTGAGACTGAAGGATAAGAAGGGGCCAGCCAGCTTGGAGTAGGAGGAACAGCATGTGCAAGCCCTCTGAGGGGAGAAGGTACCATGGCCAAAGGTGGCTGTTGTGGTAGAAGCATGGACAGAGATGGGAGGGCATTAAGGGGTAGGCTGGGTAGTGACCACCCTGCATGGCCCAGAAGGCCACATTTAAGGGGTGCAATTCTTATCCTGAAATTATCCCTGCCATATCCCACTCTGTAACCATGTCACTTCTGGGTCTTACTGCCCACGGGAGAGTGCACAGTGGTGGAAACCTCCTTTACAGAGGGCCTGCCATGAGGCACAGACTGTGCTGGGGCCACACATTCATTCTGCCTTTTTTATTCTCCTGAAGTAACTATTCTTTGATTTCCACAGAACGGATGAAAAAATGGAGGCACAGAAAAGATAAGCAGCCTGCCTGAGGTTAGCTGACTGTTAAGGGATGGGCTGGGATCCACTCCCAGGTCTGTGGGACTTCAAGCCCCTTCTCTTGGCTGTCATGCAGCAGTGGTATCTATGAGTGGACCAGAAGAGCAAGGAGTCTACAGCCTTGCCACTCAGAGGCGGGGGGTCCAAAGGCCTGCGATACTGGTATCACCTGGAAGTTTGTCAGAAATGCAGGATCTTGGGTTCCATCCAGCCCTACTGAATCAGAATCTATACTTCAATTTTTTTTTTTCCTTTGAAACAGAGTCTCACTCTGTCACCAGGCTGGAGTAAAGTGGTGCGATCTTGGTTCACTGCAACCTCTGCCTCCCAGGTTCAAGTGATTCTCCTGCCTCAGCCTCCAGAGTAGCTGGCACTACAGGCACGTACCACCATGCCCAGCTAATTTTTGTATTTTTAGTAAAGTCAGGGTTTCACCATGTTGGCCAGGATGGTCTCCATCTCTTGACCCTGTGATTCACCCACCTCAGTCTCCCAAAGTGCTGGGATTACCGGTGTGAGCCACTGTGCCTGACTAAAATTTTTTTAATCTTTGTGTGTGTGTGTATGATGGGTCTCACTGCGTTAATAGTAGCACAAACACAGCTCCCTATAGTCCCCACCTCCTGGGCTCAATGGATCTTCCTGCCTCAGCCTCCCAAGTAGCTGGCACAGGCCTCCATGCCCAACTAATTTTAAAATTTTTCGTAGAGACAGGGATCTCACCATGTTGCCCATGCTGGTCTCAAATTCCTGAGCTCAAGCAATCCTCCAGCCTCGGCCTCCCAAAATGCTGGGATTACAGGTGTGAGCCACCATGCCCAGCCAGAATCTATACTTTACAGGAATCATGTACACATTAGGAGCTGAGAAGCACTAAACTAGAGAATAAGCAAAGTGGCATACTGCCTTTGCAGCCCTTATGCAACAGCGTCTCATATGCCAGGTTTCCAATGACCCGAAAACAACTTATTATAACCAAATATACCAGATTGGCCAACTGTTCCGTCCATCTATCCACCCTAGTTTTGTCATCTGTTGCCACTCCAAGGGAAAAACTGTGAGAAGCTACCATCCACTCCAAAGAGGAGCTGCTGTACACTCCAAATCATCTTCCATTTGGGGGTCTACTCTGATTCCCAGATCATTTTCTGGAACCCACTTTTTACAAAAGAATTCCCTATCTTAGCCTGCATACCAAAGGAGGTAGAATGGTTTGGCAGAAAAGATTAGTGGGTGAGGAAATGCAGGGTTTCCCTTCAGCTTTAAGGCCACATGTGACTTTGGGAAATGGCCTACCCTCACTTCCCCATCCCCATGTAAAATATGAATGGGGTGGACTAGACTAGGAATCACTGTATATGAGGCCTGGCAGGGAACATAAAGGAAGTTCAGTGGCCTAGGTGAAACAGCAGGGAGTGGTGGAGACTGTGGCAAACTAGAAGGTGCAATGCCCTGACTACAAAAAGGTATCCCCACTCAGAAATAGGCTAGTGTTATGGGTAATGCGTTGCCATATATTCTAATTTTTTAAGTTGGGAATCTGATTTTCCCCCAAGAAATGAGTGATGTTTAAGTTTTGGCAACTGTGAATAGTTAAAACTTCAGAACAGACAAACACAACACCGTGTGAGCCAAATAAAGATCAGGCGCAGGCCCGATCTGTCCGTGGGCCGCCAGTTTGCGAAGCCTGGCCCGGATGCCACCCTAACGTTATGTATTAGTTTGCCTGTGCGGCTCTTTCCGAATGCTGCAAAGCGGCAGCTGTAGCATGGGGGTTGAGGGGAAAGATCTGTGCCTTTCCAGGGCCCGTCGCCCGTCCCCACCGCGGCCCTGACCCCCTTCGGTGCCCCCTCCCCAGGCCTCTCCGGGAAAGGGCCCTGACGGTGGTGCCGGGTCGCACGGCGTCGCTTGCTTCACACCCTCCCTACCTGCTCGCCCGCTCTCCCTGCACGGCCGGCAGCGCCGCAGCGATGACTCAGCCTCTGGCGGCGAAGCTGGAGGGAGGCGGAGAGGGCGAGTGGGAGGACGAAGACGGGCAGGGCGGGGTAAAAGGAAGCGGGTGGAGTGGAGGGAGGAGGGGAGGAAGAAAGAGGAAAAGGAGCGAGAAGTGGGATTGTGGAGAAGAAAGAGGAAAGGGGCTGGGGAGAGGAGAGGCGGATGGGGGAGGGGGCAGTTCAAGCCCCAGCTCCCGCCTTCTCCCGCTGCCCGCTGAGGTTGGGCTGGGCCGTGGGAGGCCGGTGGGGGAACAGCGGAGAGGGTAGGGCTGGGGCGGAGAAAGGAGGGTGGCGTGCTGCCCCCTCCCTTTTCCCCTCCCCCACTTCGAGAGTCCCGTGGGTACACGTGGTTCATTGCCACACCCACGGACCCACCCCTGCCTCTGTGGGATGGGAGGGGCGGGGGAGGGCGCCCCGGAATGCGGCTTCGGACTCTGAACCTTTACTGAGCGCCTTCCAGCGGAGGCCTGGGGGACTAGGTAGTCAAAAACGGACAGAGTGGGCGGGGCGCGGTGGCTCAGGCCTGTAATCCCAGCACTTTGGGAGGCTGAGGCTGGCGGATCACTTGCGGTCAAGAGTTCAAGACCAGCCCGGCCAACATGGGAAAACCTGGTCTCTACTCAAAATACAGAAATTGTCCAGGCGTAGTGGCGCGCACCTGTAGTCCCTACTACTCGGGAGGCTGAAGCACGAGAATCACTTGAACCCGGGAGGTGGAGGCTGCAGTGAATCGAGATCGCGCCACTGCACTCCAGCCTGGACAACAGAGTGAGACTCTGTCTCAAAATAAATAAAAACTAAATAGATAGATAGATAGATAGATACATACATACATAGAGCTGGGTGTGGTGGCGCGTACCTGTAGTCCCAGCTACGCAGGAGGCTGAGGTAGGAGGATTGCTTGAGCCCAGGAGTTCTGGACTGCAGAGCGCTATGCCGATCGTGTGTCCACACTAAGTTCGGTATCAATATGGTGACCTCCCGGGAGCGGGGGACCACCAGGTTGCCTAAGGAGGGATGAACCGGCCTAGGTCGGAAATGGAGCAGGTTGAAACTCCCGTGCTGATCGGTAGTGGGATCGCGCCTATGAATAGCCACTGCACTCCAGCCTGGGCAACAGAGTGAGATCCCCGTCTCTAAAAAATAAAAAAATAAAATATAAAAAGAGACAGAGGTGGGGGCTCGCAGGGGAGAGGCCATATCCTCACGGCATATCCACAAGTGGAAATTTAAAGGGAGAAATAAGCCCACTGGATGCATTTTTGCTAGTCTACACTGGTAGCTATAACACAAAGTTGAATTTGGAAGGCACGCCAAGGAAGTTTCCGTAGCAATGTTTTGCAATATAAATGATGAATGATGAATGAATAAAATATACTATGGGAGTATGTCTATGTGTATATAAGGAGAGGAATAGAGTTTTCTGAGGGGCTGCACCAACTCCACCTTGTCCAGTGGCTTCAGCTGTCCCTCTTCTTCATTTATTTATTTATTTATTTATTTATTTTTTATGTTTTGAGGCAGAGTCTCACTCTGTCACCCAGGCTGGAGTGTGATGGTGTGATCTCGGCTGACTGCAACCTCTGCCTCCTGGATTCAAGCCATTTTCCTGCCTCAGTCTCCTGAGTAGCTGGGATTTCAGGCACACACCACCATGCCAAGCTAATTTTTTGCATCTTTAGTAGAAAAAGGGTTTTACCATGTTGGCCAGGCTGGTCTCAAACTTCTGACCTCATAATCTGCCTGTCTTGGCCTCCCAAAGTGCTGGGATTACAAGCGTGAGCCACTGCGCCCGGCCTGTCCCTTCCTTTCACAGTAATCCTCATGTCCATGCAGTAGCTCCTTGTCTTTGCCATAGTCCACAGAAGGCTTACCAGTCAGGCCGCGTTTCCCAGGAACTCAACCTCTCTGACTTCCAGGCATAGAACACACAGAACTTGGGGCCCGGCAGACACCTCTATAGCTCATTATTTGAATCACAGGAGTTCCCTGGAGTCAGCACCTGGAGGAGGAGTGCCCCAAACCTGCTGACCCTCTTTGGTCCAGAGCTGTGGACACTGCTGGTTCTGTGAGTTTGTTTTCCTGGTGAGTAAGAATATTAGACTATGGTGTTGTGCCAAAACGGGTCCCATTTTATGCTACTATATCTTACTCCATTGCCCAGGCTGGAGTGCAGTGGCATGATCACGGCTCACTGCAGACTTGACTTTCCAGGCTCAAGGGATCCTCCCACCTCAGCCTCCTAAGTAGCTGGGACTAGGCGCAGTCCACCATTTTCAGCTAACTTTGTATTTTTGGTAGAGGTGGAGTTTCACCATGTTGCCCAGGCTGCTCTTGAACTCCTGGGCTCAATCTATCCACCCTCCTCCACCTTCCAAAGTGCAAAGGGATTACAGATGTGAGCCACTGTGTGCAGCCATCTTATACTGTTGCATCTTTGCAAATGAAATGGCCTGGCTTTCCCCTCTGGCAGACCCTGATTTTTTTTTTTTTTTTTTTGAGACAGAGTCTCGCACTGTCGCCTAGGCTGGAGTGCAATGGTGCAATCTCCTCTCACTGCAACCTCCGCCTCCCGGGTTCATGCGATTCTCCTGCCTCAGCCTCCTGAGTAACTGGGATTACAGGTGCACACCACCACACCCAGCTAATTTTTTGTATTTTTAGTTGAGACGGGGTTTCATTATGTTGGTCAGACTAGTCTTGAACTCCTGACCTCGTGATCCGCCTACCTCAGCCCCCCAAAGTGCTGGGATTACAGGAGTGAGCCACCGCGCCCAGCCCAGACCCTGATTTTAATGAGCCAGTGCTGTGTTGCGGCCACAGCAGGTATTCAGAAAAGGCAAGGTAGAGCTGTCAACAGGGCTCTTGGCACGTCCAAACCCAGGCCTCACCAGGGCGTCCATGCTGCTGTGGGACCCTGCCACTGTAGCAGCTCAGAGTCCTGGGGAGCTGGTGCTAGAGATTGTGGTGGCTCAGCCACGTACACAAGAGACCCCACTATCCCACTACAGGCAAGACAGACAGATGGTGGTCCTCACAGAGGACTCCATGCCAATGCTGTGTCTGCCACTTGGGAAAGTCTCTTCTCCTCTGGACTGTTCCTTTACTGCATGACCTCGCCTCTGCCCCTTCTCCTTAATCTCCTCAATCCCTGCAGTGTTCCTAGTGTTTGCAGGGCCCTTCGCTCCATTCCTCTTGGGATGCTGCAGCAAAGTGGTTAAGGGTGAGGGTTCCTACAACTGATTACCTGAGTCTGTGTAATCTTGGGCAAAGCACTTCACCTCTCTGTGCCTCGACTTCCTCATTTCTAAAATGAGGAAAATTAAGAGGCCCTATCTCACAAGATTAAATGAGATAGTACATGTAAAGGATGCTAGCCATGTGGGAAGCCCTTACTAAATAGTAGCTATCATTATTATTATTATTATTATTATTTTTATTATTACTTGAGACAGAGTGTCACTCTGTTGCCCAGGCTGGAGTGCAGTGGCGTGACCTCAGCTCACTGCAACCTCCACCTCCTGGATTCAAGTGATTGTCCTGCCTCAGCCTCCCAAGTAGCTAGGATTATAGGCATGTGCCAACATACCTGGCTAATTTTTGTTTGCTTGTTTGTTTAGTAGAGACAGAGTTTCACCATGTTGGCCAGGCTGGTCTCAAACTCCTAATCTCAGGTGATCTATTCGCCTGGACCTCCCAAAGTGCTGAGATTATAGATGTGAGCCACCACACCTAGCCTAGTAGCTATCATTATTGCTATTCTTCTTCTTTTTTTTTTCTTGAGACAGGGTCTTGCTCTGTCACTCAGGCTGGAGTGCAGTGGTGCAATCAGTAATCACTGCAGCCTCAACTTCCTGGGCTCAAGGGATCCTCCCACCTCAGCCTCCCAAGTAGCTGGGACTACTGGCAAGTGCCACCAAGCCAGCTAATTTCTTTTTTTTTTTTTTTTTGAGATGGAGTTTTGCTCTTGTTGCCCAGGCTGGAGTGTAGTGACGCGATCTCGGCTCACCACAGCCCCCACTTCCCAGGTTCAAGCGATTCTCCAGCTTCAGCCTCCCAAGTAGCTGGGATTAAAGGCATGTGCCACCATGCCTGGCTAATTTTCCGTATTTTTAGTAGAGATGGGGTTTCTCCATGTCGGTCAGGCTGGTCTCAAACTCCTGACCTCAGGTGATATACCTGCTTCAGCCTCCCAAAGTGCTGGGATTACAGGCGTGCGCCAACGTGCCTGGCCAATATATATATATATATATATCGGTAAAGGTGAGGTCTTGCTGTATTGCTCAGGCTGATCTTGAACTCCTGGGCTCAAGTGATCCTCCTGCCTTGACTTCCCCAAGTGCTGGTATTACAGGCATGCCCCACCACACCAGGCTATTGCTATTATTTCTGATTAACAATAAAAAGGAAAATGCGCTCTTACTAATTGCCAGGCAATGTGCTAAACTCTAGATGATTGATCCTTTTCTCATTTGATCCCTTCAACAACTCTATGAGGAAAGTGCTATTATTAGCCCCATAGCTGGGAAGAGGAAGCTCAGGTACAAGGGTGTTAAGTAACTTACCCAGGGTGACAGAGCCAAGAAGCAGCAGCTCTGGATCTGAACCGAAGTACTGCACTGCGAAGACTCACTACCTGCTCCTCTCCACTGAAAGCAGACTTCATCATAGGAAGAAGGAGCTTCTCTCCAGTTGGTTGTCCTGGATAGATTTGAGAGACCTATAAGAAGATGGTGTTGAGGCGACAGAATCCCCACATCCCCAACTAGGGCAGAAGGAGGGGTTTGGGCTCAAAGGAAGTGAAGTGTTTTGCTTTTTCAACTATTGATGAAACCACTTAGCATGGCAGGCTGTGTGTAGTCTCATGGATGGCCTCCAAAAGGTATCATCAAGTTTTTTTGGTTTTTTTTTGAGACAGAGTCTCACTCCATCACCCAGGCTGGAATGCAGTGTCTTGGTCTCGGCCCACTGCAACCTCCACTTCCCAGGTTCAAGTGGTTCTCCTGCCTCAGCCTACCTAGTGGCTGAGATTACAGGCATGTGCCACCATGCCTAGCTAACTTTTTTTATTTTTAGTAGAGACAAGGTTTCGCCATGTTGACCAGGCTGGTCTCGAACTCCTGACTTCAAGTGATCCACCCACCTCAGCCTCCCAAAGTGCTGGGATTACAGGCATGAGCTGCCATACCTGGTCTTGTTTTGTTTTGTTTTGTTTTGAGACAGGATCTCACTCTGTTACCCAGGCTGGAGTACAGTGGCACAATCTCAGCTCACTGCAGCCTTGACCTCCTGGGCTCAAGCCATCTCCCGCCTCAGCCTCCTGAGTAGCTGGGACTACAGGGCATGTGCCACCATGCCCAGCTAATTTTTGTATTTTTGTAGAGATGAAGTTTCATCATGTTGCCCAGGCTGGTCTTGAACTCCTAGGCTTAGGCAATCTGCCTGCCTCAGCCTCTGAAAGTGCTGGGATTACTGGTGTGCACTATCACCTCTGGCCTTGCCAAGTTTTCACTAGTGCATAAAATTTATTTTTGCTACAATCCAAGGTATATATTATTCTAGTGCTTTTTGTTTGAATTGGACTGTCAGAACGGTACAAAAAGGCATTCACTTGCTACAAGTCGGAGGTTAGATGGGAGGTCTATTGTGGAACTGATGCAGGAGAAAGGCGATGTGTTTATCAGGACCTGTGAGAACTTGTCCAGGTGAGTACATGTGGGAGAATGGTTTGTGCAGAAGGGTTAGTTCTTCCAACCCATATGCCAAAGGGGACAAGGAGACCATTTGATAATTCATTTCTTTTTAAAAGATATTCAAGGCAGTATTTTTCTTTTTTTTTTTTTTCAAACTGTATCCAGCTTTATTAAAGATACTTTCCATAAACAATCATGGTATTTCAGGCAGGACATGGGCAGACAATCATTAACAGTATACAACAACTTTCAAACTCCCTTCTTTGATGGACTACCAAAAATCAGAAAGCCACTATAAAACCCAGTGAAGTCTTCATCTGATGCTCTGAACAGGGAAAGTTTAGAGTGAGGGTTGACATTTCACATTTAGCATGTTGTTTAACAACTTTTCACGAGCCGACCCTGACTTTCAGGAAGTGAAATGAAAATGGCAGAATAATCTTCAGATAAGAAGATTCACAATCTAGAAATGGAATCACTGCTCTTTTGACAGGTGCCATCTCAGTGGCATCACTGGCAAGTCCAGATTGCCCGACACACTGGTAACCAATGACTGGGGGTCAGGTCCCAACAGATGTCTGGGCTTAAGGGAGTTAAGTCTATGCTGAAAGACGGAAAGGGAGAAGAGGACATAAAAATGAATTTGTTTTTCCATACCGCAAGGCTTTTGTGTGCCAAGGTGGCCATGTGTGTCAAAGTCAGGGAATCCCTCCTCCTGGGAGCCAAGAGGAAGTCTCTCAAAACTAGAAGGGAAAGGCGTTTCCCCACATCAATCCAGCTTTGGAGACATTCTATTAGTGACATATGCCCCTTCCCCCAAAACAACAATGAAGTGTTCTGTGTGCTAACAACATAGCTTAAAAAAAAAAAAAGTAAAACAAAATTCTGCATTTTTATAAAACTTGATAAAAAATAGTATTTCAAACTGTACAGTCACCAGAAGTACACAGTTTTCAAAAATGCACACACTTCACTTGGCATCTCCAGCACCTTCGGCTTTCTGTGCCTGGTCTGTTTTGGCATCTCCATTTTCTGCAGGGTTATTCCCTTCCTTGCCAGCATCAGCTTTTCCCTTTTTCCCTTTGGGTACCTTCTCTCCCTTCTTTGCAGGGGCCTTTTTAGGCCTGGGCTCTGGCTTTGGAGGAGCAGGTTTAGCAGACAACCTCGCGGATCTTCTCTGTGGTTCGTCCTTCACCTTGGCTTTATCTCCTTTAGCATTCCCTTCAGCCTTTCTCTTGGGCATGGTGGCGACGGCGGCGGGACGTAGGCGCTGAGCGCGGGATGCCGCAGCGCGTGGGCTTTGATCGGTTTGGGGGTCGCTCTCGCCTCTTCTTCTTCACACTGCTCCAGTATTTTTCTTTATACTGTGATAATGTGGTTGTGTTAGTTATC